CCCCCCCTTCCATCTGTAATCCAGGCATAGGCTGATTGTGTACCAGCATCAACATTGTCTTCAGCTCCCTGTTCCCATCTGTTAGGAGGTGAGCTAACTCTGGAGTACATGCATGGCTGAAATGCACAGGTATTAACCCCTCACATACGTGTGCTAAAAGTGTATTTCCACTTTTGCAGCCAAATTGGAATAACAACTATGTTATATTTGTTACAAGTTTCAATTCACATAATATAACTTAAAAAAAATGCGACTTACATTTTATTGCTGCAGTGCAGGGGGTGGGGAGTTAAGGTTTACAACAATTAACCCTGTCAGTATTGTGCTAGCAGATCTCATTATCGGTTGAAAACTAAATTTTAACAAAGGGTTAAAGATCTAGATCAGGAGTATCTGAACTTCAGCCCTCCAGCTGTGGTGCAACTCCAAATCCCATGAGGCACTGCAAGTCTCTGACAGCCACAGGCATGACTCCCAGAGGCGGATGCATGACGGGAATTAGTAGTTTCACCACAGCTGGAGGGCCGATGTTTAGCTACCCCTGATCTAGAAGCATTGTATGTTAATGGGAGGAAGATCAGAGTGCCCCTAGTCATTCTATGGGGACAGCCAAAGGTTCCTGTCACTTTGAAATTGTACAGAGAATCTTGCAGTCTGTTCAAAGGTCGGCTACACAAATACAATCAAAAGGTAAGAAGTGTTTTTTTCAAAATGTATTTTTCGGTATGCTGTGTGAATAGGAAAACATAACAAACATATATAATGTTATTCATAGGAGGGTGAAGAGTTTGGAGAAGGCCGGAGAAGTGAACAATCTAGTACAAAATAGCTGATTTGTAACAATTCTCAGATTCAGCTCACTTTCCAGTTAAGTGATGTTGTCCTAGATTGTTCACTTATCCTGCCTCCTCCAAACTCTTCACCTTTTTATGAATAACCCTGATAGAGGGCTTTTCTCAGATGAGACTGGACTTGTGCTAAAGAGAACGCAAAGATAATACATCAGGAAAAATTCAGAATTTGCCATCAGCTAAGCTTTAATGATAAGTATGGTGAGCATACTGTACCTTCCCAACTCTCACTTATTTAAAGGGGCCATCATTTAGAGGGACCATCCCTTTTTTTATTTTAAACAAAATCCCGCTTTTCCCTCTTCAGTTGTCTCTCTGTTTGGTCTGATGTACAAACCTCTACAAAAGATTCATTTTAGATTTCCCATTACTTTTTGTCCTGATGACAAGTAGATATAAGTCCTATCCAAATGAAATACATTGGGTATCATGAACAACTACCATTGTTGTTTAAATAAAATTCTTATTTTCACTTTTTTATCCGTTGTTGCCTCTCAGTGCTGCTGACCTCCTGCTGCCTAGTTGCAGTCACTTCCTGTCTACATGCATAATGTGGGGGGAGCGGTCCCCAGTTTTAGCCTGGCCATTTATTTATTTTTCATTAGAAAAATGACAAGCTGTAGGAAAGACTGAAGGCCTCTGGTTTGCTTTTTAACACTTCAAATATTAGATAGATAGATAGATAGATAGATAGATAGATAGATAGATAGATAGATAGATAGATAGATAGATAGATAGATAGATATTAGTGCTCTCCAACCCGTAGGTAGTGTTTTAAAACTTAAATACCATACTGTAAGTTTTTTTGGGGGTGCGAGGGGGGTTCTCTACTGTTTAAATCATTGGCCTAAAGTGAATAAACTGACCTCCTATGAATAAAGCAGGGGGCCTAAATGCTGTTCTGCCCTCTTACTATAGAAATACAAGCCTGTACTCTTTTGGTGCCAGGCTGGGATCACCTGGGTGGTGGAACTGGGGTAGGCCACACAAAAAATGGGAACAGGAAGATAATTTAAAATAGCAATTGTCAATCCTGTGTCAACATATGCTCAGCAATGGACAGCATGTAAACTGTAAAAAAAAATCCTCCCCTGGTTAGTTACATTTACGGCAAGAGTCCCACATGCTGCAATTTGTACTGAAATTTACACATGGATTCCACCCACTTCCTACTTCCTGTAGCCACTTCCTGAGTTCTGCATGGGAGGTTCTTCCTGCTATATAGTCACATGATCAGTCTCAGTGTTGTATTAAGAGAAACACTTCTGGTAACAGCAATGAGCTAATCACATGAGCATGTAATGACATATCATCTAGGGGAGTTCGGTACGTCAAAGTGTTAAGGAAACCCCGGAGCCACCCCTTACTGAGGTGGTCGCCTCAAGTGGCATCTCATTGGGTCATGTGTGCACAAGACGTGTATCTAAAACATCTGTTTTTAACCTTAGCGGTTAGACAGGTTATTTTTGCATGCTGGCTGGTGAGTGTGCTGGGAAACTTTTTGCTGTTGATGTGTGCACACCTGCCGCCCTCTTTCCAGCCAGAGCTCTTAGCAACCTGTGATGGTCTGGCTGGCATCCCGCCCATCACACTGACGTCACTGGTTGCAAGGAGCAAAGCAGGGTGCTCTAGATCTCCCGTCCAGCCCGGCTCGTGGCAACCAATGACGTCAACAACCTGGATGTTCTGGCTTGAAAAGGGGGTGGCAGGTGTGCCCACATGAGTCCCCCCCCCCCCCCCGAACATTCACCATGAGTAATCACCCCCCCCCTTAGCCTCAGGCGGTGAGATGTCTAAGGGTGCCCCTGGAAACCAATATACATTGTTTTTATTTTTTTCTTGCTTAAAAAAAAACATTTGCAGACTGATTTAATCACTGATCACCATAAAAAAGCAGAGTTACCCTTTAAAATTTTGATGTTTATCCCACTTTTTTGTATTCCAGTTCTTACTTAAAATTACCAGTAAGCATACAATAAATGCTGGGATTGTACTGCTTGTATATATAGTTTAGCATGACGTACCCTTTTCTTGCAATGATTTTTAATGAATCAAGAGCTAATTAGCATGATACGCTGAGTGATAATTACAGCGAGAGTACGGCTCGGTTTTACACAATCTTATGCATCAAGCCCCATGGGTCATAATCAGGACCATTTTTTTTTTTTTTTACTTAATAGACAAAGTGGAAAACCCCTTTAACTTAATCAAATGTTTAATTGTACTCCCACTCTCTCAACTCCCAGAGGTGTAACATAGTAAAATTAAAAATGGAAATTTTTGTAATTTTTTTTTCCAGTTTGCTTGGGGAGCGGCCCCTGGCCGGAGGTCTTGCTCTTCTGCTTATAAGCTACAATCGGCCCTTAAGTGCATTATTGATTGGCATTTCTACAAAGTAGGAAAAGTGTTGTGATGTTTAAAAGCTTGCTCAGGATAAGAGATGGATAGAGAGACAACCGAGAGAGGACATTGCAACTAACGCATCAATATTTTATCATGGAAAATAAAGATCAGCTCATTTGAATGACATTATTGAAGAGGGATACTGAATACAAGGGATCGTTGTGGAAAGCTTAGCATGGCAGAATTTCACGTTGTCAGGAAATCATCAGCATTAAGATATCTGCAGAGTGGACAAGGTTGTCTGGTACTTTCTTAAAGGGATCCTTTGAGAGAAAAATGGAGGCTTCCACTGTGTAGTTCCTTCTGAAAATGCTTGTTGGCTTTGGGACCTCCTGAGTCACTGACAAGTATTGAACCAGTGTAGTCAGGACACCGGATCAATACAGAGGATCAGAGTCAGTGACACAGAGGGAATACTAAAGCCACTGGATTAGCATGACAGCCAGCTGCACTTTTCATTATATTCCCAATTTAGCTCTCTTCTCCACTATGTAAAAAAAAACCAACCATACACTACTATGGGCATGCATCCTGCATGCATTTTTCCATCTTCTACAATGTAGGGCTCAGTGCCTTAGGGCCATTCTGTCAGGCCCCAGCACTATCATGTTGGCAATGGGGGAAGGGGCATAAGTAATTACTGACCATCAGAAAGTTGCCATTTACCGTATATAGGATTTTCGTAGGCCTCCAGTGGTGCCATGGCTTTCATTTCCCAACCTGTACTGGGGAACACCCACACCATGCACAGCCATTCACAGTTCAATTTTCCATCAAGCAGGCACTTGTTATACTGAGAGGATATTTTCTAATACGTCACTTGTTCTTCTTAAGAGGAATTACAGGTAGTGCTGAGACAAGACCTGGATGGAGCAGCAGCTTGAAGGGTACAACTATAGTTGCAGTAGTTGTGCCAGCGGGAATGTGACTGCTATAGGGACTAGGAAGACAGAGGCGGGCCTTTAAGTGAATGTATTGCAGTTTTGTACATATATTTTTAAAATATATTTGTCAGGCAAATACGAAATATTGTATATGAATATTTTAAATGCTTATATCCAGTTAGCAAGTGGAGCGTTAGACTTTTTAAAAATATATTTTCCATGCTATCCTTACTTCCTGTAGAAACAAAAAAAAAACCAAAACAGGGATTTACAGAGCTCAATAGCTCAAGCTGAAAAGTACACATTTAAGATAATGATTCAGAGCAGTGACTCCTCCTCCCTCTTTTTCGCTCCCTTCATATGGCTTCACCTGAGGTTTCAATGACAGACTTATTTTTCAGAAAGCAAACAGCTTCTGCTGTACTCTGTCTTAAAAAAAGAAAATGGTGCTCCCATGTGATGGGTGCACTCTTTATAAACTGTTATGTGTCATAGATTGCAAATAAAATATATTTATGCAGGTTCAAGGAAATGGGCAGTCCTTAAATTGGCTTAGGCCACAAAATCTCTGCAACCACTGTACACCATATCCACATAATTAGAGACAATACATAGTAGGTACTTACATGGGTGCAAAAATACTCTGCTGGATCCCCACATGTAATTCCAGGAGGGTCCACCCTAATTATGGCATACTCTTTCATAACCATCGGCTTTGGTTGGCAGGCATAATGTTCCCATGATGGGCCGTCATCAGACGTCACCCAGGATTTACAGATGTCATAATGTCCCAGCGCCAGAGGCAGGTAGTGTACAAGGAGGGCAAACAAGGGCAGCATGGTAACTGGCAGGGGCGACAGCGTCCTCCAGGAGTGGAGAAGCCTAGGAGACTTGAAGGGGAATCTTCAGGGGACTCAGCTGCTACTGTCAGGATCAGCATGGAAACACCTCATTGACAAGTGTGCAGAGACTTTGAGGGTGCTCCACCTCTAAAAGACAAGGTTTGTGCTTGGTACAATCGAAGATCCAGAGAACTCAGACTTTCGTGGAAAAGTCCATGTGTTGCATAGAATTTTTCCAAATTTCCAATCCTCTTTTTGTCTGCATTGAAGCATCTATTGCTTTACACAGTAACGATCAACACGTTGGCTGTCCACTCCTAAGTACAACTCGAAATCGCAAAGTTTGTCCATTATTCTTGATGCAAATCCAGAGGAAGACATATTTCATTTTTGAGTTAAGCACAAAAGGATTACCAAATTTCACAACAATTCTGTGTTCTTAGGTGGTCACATTGAGAAGTATAGGTTCAAAGGCCGAAGTTGCACTCTTGCAAACGTACATCCAAAGAAGAAGCTCAGAACTTGTCCTCGCTCCTTTCCTGAACTGTCCTCTTAATTATCTCAATGAACATTGTAAAGTAGAAATGTTCTCAAGCAGCTATTCCTGCAAAAAAATATAATAAACAAGTTTACATGTTAGGAGGAAATAAAAAAATGGGCTTGAGAACACAATTTTCATCCATTGTATCTGCCAACTGAATCCACACAACAGATGCTTAGTCTTTCCTATCTAGACATCTTTTCCCCCCCAGAGTAACTGTATTTAGTTCATAACAAAATATATATTTATATATGTTTTTCAAGAAAGGAATACATGCTCAGGAATGGCAATTAGAAGCATCTGTTTAATATGCTCTCTCCTACATGCCATAGCGCTGACATTGCCATGGTTGGTGCAGCTTGGTGACATATTTCTAAAGGTGCATCTGAACTGACTACATTTCTGTGAATAGGAAGTCCCCTGGTGACCTTGACAAACAGGGCTCACTAAAGACCATGGCAAACTCAGGCAAAAGCAGGCCTTGCAACCCCATTTAGCCCACATTCACACTTGCGGGTTCTGTCAATGCACCAAAAAGTGGCGCATGGAACATGCAACACGCTTGCGTTGCCATTAATTTGTAATGGCACCCCAAATGTGTTCAAGAAGATTTTTGCTATGCTTTTGCATGCATGAAAATGTGCACAAACATGGCAGCAAAAAATGCGCAACGTGTGACACAAAATCTGCTATATGAGCTTTTTGCTGCGTTGCATGTTGCATGTGCAGTTAAGCAAAACAAATGGCAAACGCACTCATCAACTTATCACCAGTTTTAAAGTAAGGAGCACAGCTTTAAAGTAAGGAGCACATGGAAGGGCTTTAAACAATACAACAGCAAAAAGTTTCCCAGCACACTTACCAGCCATCGGCTTTCACATTTTCTGCAGAAGACGTGTATCTAAAACCTCTGTTTTTAACCTTAGTGGTTAGACAAGTGAAGACGGGTGCTAGGAATGACTGCGGATGGCGCCGCCACATGTAGACCAAAAAAGAAAGGTGTCACCTTCGTCAGGCTCAGAAATGACCTGTTATTCCAATGATAGATATCTATGTCATTGCGCTGAAATCCTTGTATTCAAGGTGGGATATCTCTGAGCCTGACGAAGGGGGCGCTTGCTAATGGGAGACAGCATCTGTCATTAAATGAGCACCTAACTGCTGTTATCATCTTGTGTGGAGCGTTGGTGACACCTTTCTTTTTTGCTCTCTGTATATATCACAGAGATGGAGAGGAAGGCCGTACCTTCCAACTTTATGAGATAAGAAAGAGTGACAGCTTCCAGCACAATGTATTCAGGCAATGGACACACTCCTGCCATGACCCCAGTTATGTGAAACATTAAGAATGTATATTCCAAAAATAATTGGTAATACCAAGAATTGTTTTCCCCATTATTTTTCCTTTTTACCAGCTTTTCAAAATAGCAAACAAGATAATTCATAGATAAGATAAAGGATTTAGTGGAGAATAACACTTTTGGTAGTTGAATCGGATTTTTTCATAGAATGGTAGTTGAATAGTGTATTTTCATAGAAATATGTAAATCAGATAAAAAAGAGGAAAAAATGAGGAGGAAAGATTGACAGAGGGATTTGGTTCCACATGAGGGTCATTTGGGAGGTATGGAAGACCTGGTTAAAGGCTTTTGACATAACATTTGTATGTCAGCGGCAGCTCTATTCAGTATGCTTACTTTGCATGCTGCAAAATAGGTGCGTAATGCATTTGAAACTGCTGATAGAGCAGAATATAAAGGTACCATCATGTGCACATGCTTGGGAGAGGCTTGCTTTAAGGACTACTTATAAGTGTCATTAGCCTTATTTAAAATGTATTGTTTCCAGTCAGGTAAGACCTGAAACAAAAGGTCTGATTTACT